TGTATTTCGCATAGTCAGCCACTGCTTCTATTATGTATTTTACGCAATGGAAGATTCTGGACTCCTTAACACTACAAATCCTCTTCATGTGTTTGCATTACACATAGTTTTTTTACCCAGAATTAATGTAGCTCTCCAAGAATTCATGGAAGCATACAATCATCACAAAGTCCGTACAATGCACAACTGGTTCCCAAATCAAGTATGGACAAATAGCATATTAAATCCAGAAAACCCATTGCTCTCTGGGCAACCAGATCCACCACCTGAAAATGTTGAGTTTTATGGGTATGACCCACATGGACCAAATCCTTTTGAAGAAAGTGATAATAATGTTGTTGTCCACCCAATAATAAACATTGAAAATGCAGCTGATTTACAGTCAGCAATTTTGCAGGTTGTAAATTCTTTGGCACCTTCAAATGAGATGGGGATTGACATTTATGAGAAAGTTTTAAATTTATTACAAGTGTAAATAATTATATGGAATAACATACTGCAATCTATAAAATAACAAACTGATTTTCATGCTTACATTAACTGTATATACTATGCCCATCTTTGAATGTATAAGTCCTAGTTTGAATTCAACCTTGCAAGTTCACCAATCATTATGCAATTCAAGTAGTGGCACTAAAACAATAATTTGGGAGGAAAATAATTTTTATTTGCATTATTTCCTTTAAAATTGAATATCAACCCCAGTGATTCTGGTACCACAACTCTAATAAATAACCATAACATTCAAACAAAACTATTTTTTTTGCAAATGTCAAGTTATTTCACCAGTCTAACAACTTATTTCTTCAACAGTCATGAGTATGGTTAATAAGTTATCTTCATAATTATAGTTTAGCGGTTTCCAAAATATGCATTGGAAAACGCCATGTCATACACTTCAAAAAGCTCAACTTCAATGGGAAGTGCCATATTATGATCTGCAAATGGTAAGTAAAGGGTATTTGAACAGGTGTTTGCTGTGGGTATGAATGACCATTTAGCAGAAGTGATAGATGATACAAATTGTATGGATGGCTCTTTTGCAAAGCTGAGAACAGGTTCTTCGTCAGTTCCTGTTGTAAACTGTAATATATGCTCCAAGGTAACATTGCCTTTTTTGCCACCAGCAGCTTCTCTACAATATTTAGAAAATGCTGTATATGCTGTATTTTCATGTTGCCTTTGATTGCATCCAACTTCAGAAAATTGGGGCTTTAGTAGGTGTACAAGTTTTCTTCTTGTTAGCGATGATGCACCTGATTGCCGAAAAAGGTGTAGAAAGGATGGCAGTTGTTTTGCAATCTCACACAAACCAAGTTTGTTAACACCTTGTGCCAGATTACTCAGGCTGTCAGAGCTAGTTGCACCATTCATAAAAACTGCTTGGAGTTGGTCTTCATTTAGGAACCTCGGCATTTTTCCATCTTGCAAAGCACTAAGAGCCATAATTACACCAACAACTTTGTAGTCCTCTGCGAGATGTTCTTTTATACCATTGTCAAAGTACTTTTGCTTCACTTCCTGTAAACATAACCTAAAAAATTCCTTTCTAGGACCACCTGCATCTTGTGCATTTTCACCATAAAAAGACACCTCCAGGGTGAGCTGGAGGTCTTCAATTCCAGGTACTTCTTCTAATGCTGTCCCAAGCACATCAAGTCTATTTATGAGAATAAAACTTGATCTCTCATCACTTAACTCGTTAATATCACCAGTGTAGCCATTCAATGGTTTACCCTTGACTATGAATTTTTGAGCACATCTCAGTATCTCCACTGGGTCTGAAATATTTTGTTCCTTGCAATATGTGATGCATTCATCTACAGCTTGAGTAACCGTAGCTTTGGAAAAGAGAGATGATGTGGACTTCTCTGGCAGGGATGAAGTGCAATTATGCTCCAAGTTGTTAGAGAATGTGATAGTGTCCTCATCTGTAGGATGCAGCTGTTGGCTGGAGTTGATTCTAGGTGTTGGTTCAGGGCTTTCTTTGGTTCCGTAGCTACTTTCACCTCCAACATTCTCATTTTGGATGCAAGTTGATGAACTACTAGAGTTTGGTGTTTGTATGTCAACAACTTCTTCATGTAAATTATCAGAAGCTGGTGTTGTGGGATTTCTGCTTAAATTGTTATATTTACTTAACCGTTCTATAAATAAAGGAAGAAACATGCTTGATTTATTTACAGATGGATCTTATAGATGATCTCATATATTGCCTTCATGTAAGAAAAGCATAAAAAAACTGGGGTGTGATCTTTTACAACCTAACATGAGCCTCTCAAGTCCCAATTCATACAATTAAAACATAACTAAAATTATAGGATTATTACAGTGGGATAGCTGTTACGTACATTTATAGTACATTGCATGTTATATAGACACATACCTTCCTTCTCAAAATCAAACTCATCGTCAAGCTCATCCTCAACAAGCATACAGTCAAACCCATCTTTCATTTTTAAATAGATGGAACCTTGTCCAGCAAGCATTTTAATTTGCTGGTAGTTGTATTCGCCGACAGTGACAGGTTTTGTAATGCGGCGACGACTAGCGCGCACAAACTCAAAGTCACTGTTTGTCACGAGAGGAAACTTTAATCTTATTGCCTCACCAAGTTTTTCACGAATGTCCTTCTCAGTAGCCGCTTTCTTGACTTCAATGAAACCACGGAGTGCTACCATGCTTTCCTCATACACAATGTTCTCTGTGTCCTCATGTTCTCCTATGTGAAGAAGCACGAACTCAAAAACCTTTGGCTTTTCCTCGTTGACAACACGCGGTTTCTTCGCTGTTGATTCTGTTGCTGGTTTTGTTGCTCTCAATCGCTCTTTTTTTCCTAAACGCGAGTATAGTCCCTTCGAAGAAGACTGTTGAATCATCAACCGTGCCCGGTTAACGGCAGAATTAATGATACTGACATGTTGGCTAGACCCAGACGAAGTTTCGCATGACCGATTTCTTGCAATTTCCGATGTTGCTTGATCATTTTGTGTCGACTGCGATGGATGTGCAGTATTAGTGGCCGAAGGCTGCTGTAATATTACGTCAATAATATTACTTGCCTGATTTAAACAGTCAGAAAGTTTGCGTAGATTTGCCGAGTTTTGTTCATCTTCAGCCATTTTTGACAATGTCACGTGGTTCCGAGTTTTTGCTAGTTTTGGCGGGAAGAGACCCCTGATTGATTAACTAATTTTGTTGAATATAAAAAGATTTTGTTGAATATAAAAAAAAAAATAGTTGAATATAAAAAAAATTTTGTTGAATACAAAAATAATTTTGTTGAATATAAAATAATTTTGTTGAATATAAAATAATTTTGTTGAATATAAAATAATTTTGTTGAATATAAGATAATTTTGTTGAATATAAAATAATTTCATTGAATATAAAATAATTTTGTTGAATAAAAAAAATTTTGTTGAATATAAAATAAATTTGTTGAATAAAAATAATTTTGTTGAATGTTGAATAATTTTGTTGAACGGTTTGGTTGATATTTGAATTTTCTACTTATAAAACATAAGAATTAATTGAACGATACTGTTTAATGCTGAAATACGGTTGGTTGAATATTGCTACAAATGGCTTGCCATACCTGGGACTCAGGAACTGAGTTCTTGTCAAACATAGTATAATCAATTGTAATTTTACTTCGATCTTCTAATAACGTAAAATATTTTGAGAAAAACTCGCCCAGTTGCTACAGCCATACACAACGCAGTGAAACTCTTCATGTTTACATTATAAAAGACGGCGTGTTTGCAAATCATTCCTGAGTCTCAGTCTCCCCAACCGACATATTTTCGAAACCATTTAATTATATCAAAAAAGGTTGTAGAACTTATAAACAAATTTTTCAAGCACTATTCAAATCCGTAAAGATCCCACAAGTGATATAGGCACTTTAAATTTTCAAACTATCATGTTACCATCCCTGTATACATCTACCCATACTATCAACGCTTTTCTTTGAGTCATTCCATGATATAAACGTATAGTTATAGCTAGGACCAGGAGATTATTTTCTTTGTTCGAAATGGCGATGGGTGCTACTTATATGCAACCCCTCCAATTATCGCAAACAGTTTCGCCTCTGATTTAGCCATCATATGGAACTGTGAAATGTTTCTCTGTAGGCGCATGTTAATGGAGGTATCCTAATACTCTTTCAATGATACTCCAACCCACGGTGAAAAAGCTTTGAATTCGTTGACATGGCCAGGTCACTCAGCCAGATATGCAGGCCGGTAAGCGGTGAGGTGTGTGGGCTCAATTGTGGGCTCATGTGGTTCGATTTTCAGTTCATTATTGAGATCAATATCGTTCAGTTTGGGAAAGACAATATGGCAATTGTTTTTATTTTATCAATCAACTACACAATCTAATACAGATACAGTCTGAATATAAACAAACACGGTTATAAATATTAACAGCGTAGATATCAATGAAAATTGACCGTCTTACCGATGCCAGCGATGCGACTTAATTCGAATACTTATGAAACATTGCTCATCGAGATGAGGAACACATTTTTCATGTCTTTTTAAGCTTCTAAAATGTGATGTAAAGAAACTTAGAGCCTTTACGAGCCAGATCTAACCTGGTCATATGCCGCTGCGCGCCCGCTACGAGCAGAAATGTGAATTGTAAGGTATCTAATATCCGGAATATTATATATATATATATATATATATATATATATATATATATATATTATATATATATACATATATATATATATTATGTCCTCAAATTTTCAGTGGTTAAAGATCGATAAAATAGATGATGTTTTGGACGTGGAAAAACATGACTTCTCAATTGTGGGTTGAATAGAAAGCACATTTTATTGATTTCCCACTGTTTTTTTTGAGGGGACTCCATATTAGACTACTAAATTAGCGCTAAATCGCGCATGCTTGGCGGATATGTTGGCCTACATTTCTGGCCATCGGCTGAGGTTGGGTGCGCAAATCCACGCAGTGATTTTCAAGGGGACCTCATTGACTGCTGAGTTGCACTCGAATACGCGCCCACTCGTTAAGTGTGAGTGTTAGTAAGCTATGAAAATACTGTTTACTCACGCGGATATAGTTTGACACTATATGTTAATTATGCCCGATATTTCTGGCCATGAATAAGAAATTATAGCCACAGGAATATGGAGGGAGATGATTTCAGGTTTTTTGTCTGTACTTTTGACATTTTTGACATATAGATGCACTACAGCATTTTCTTGCATTAGTAAGCTATCGGCCTTGTCAAACATCCCGTAATGTAATAGTGAAGATAGAATTTTGAGAATCACTTACCTGATTTGGCATCACCATACAAAGCGCCAGTTCCATTAGCACCACCAGCCCAAATGGAACAGGAACTTCCGGGGGAACACGCATTACCTTCTGTTGTCTCTGTGCTTGCGTCGCAGTTTAACAACTGGTTATTAAGACCTTGAGCACCACCTCCACCACCAGCAACGATCATTGGTGTGTTAGATATTGTCGCAACAAATGTTCCTCCTCCTCCACCACCAATAAGATCAGTTTTAGCACCCTCTTGTCCAACCAATATTTTAATCACATCCCCTTTTTTAAGATCAAATTCTCCTTTCATGTTCGCTCCTCGACCTCCAGGCAACCCGTACTTATCCTTCCCCCCTGCTGCACCAACTGCAGTGATTTCGTATGTACCAGTCCACGGAACTGTCCAGAACTGTATACCTTCCTTAACAGTCACCATGTTTTCATTGTCTTTACTCAAATATTCAGAACCAACAGATTGAGGACCAAGGCGGCCAGAAGCACCGAGATTTGTGAAATTTGCATGGAACGTCCCGATTGCTAAAATGAAATTAATCTTGGTGGTACATTTTCTGTAGTTGATTGTGAAACATCATGTCCCATTGGCAAGAAACGCTGTTAGATCACACCATTGTTTACAAGAGTTGCGTTTCTATCGCTCAGAGGGATAATCAGGAATTCTTATGCATTGTATATGTCTGATATTTAAGGGTTATAGACTGTTGTGAGTGTTTTGTTCACAAATAAATACACTTGCTGACCATACAATGAACTCGAAATTTCAATATTGCACGAGGCCACACACAAACAAAAGTCTCTAAAACTTTTAATATACAATCTGAGTTAATTGATTGCTGCATTGAAGATCTAAGCTTCGTTATAGGCTTTCGTTTTTGCATAAACCACGATTCTCATGGGTTATTGCGAATAAAGCGCGATTTTCAAGGGTTATTGCGACTAAATGATGATTCCCTTGGTCTGTCGCCAAGCAACAAGAAACCACGTGATTGATTTTTACCAGTCGCGTGAGTAGATTTAGGCAAATGCACGAAGATTGTATAGGAGATATTATCGTAAAGTTGCAACACAACGTAACGTAGCACTATAGCTAATATAATACTAAAATGAACAACAGATTCTGTTTGATATAGTCCCTCTATTTTGAAGGGAGATATTTTTGTTGAGGTCTGATTTGTGAAATGACAATCTTTTACTCGTAGTCGTACTTGTAGTTACTGCATGCTCAAGCGCCCTATTAATAGGCTTATGACGGTTGATGTTAAGTGACCACAGTTAGTTGGAAACAGCCATAAGAGGGGAGGTTTAAACCTTTTTAGACTACATCACAATAAAAAATTAATTAGATCAATCAACATTACCACCATTATCACCATTGCCTTTATCTATTCGTATACTTTGCGTCACGATATGGAAAATTATTGATGGCATGCCCTTAAATGTTTAAAAAGCAAAGACGTTTCATATGTTAAACTTTAATTGCCTACAAGCTAGAGCTCCAAAAAAACTGCTGTTCGTTTAGTGAGATCAAAAAGTGCCAAATGACGTAAAAACTAACACAAAAACACGAACGTACCATTCTGCACTGAAGAAACACTCGCGCCTGTAGTTCTTCTCTAAAAAAAATAATTCGGTCCACTAATTATAAGATATAAAGACAATTGACAATGCGATGATCACCGTCGATGGCTTACAAAGGATTGCATGTCAATATTGTGAATTACTAGGATGCCTACATGTCCGTTGTGTGTTATCAGTTTCTTATAATAATTTTTGTTGCCCCCCCCCCCGTCACTTGACACCCTGATGCACCCAAATTACGCCTTGACCTTAGTTCCTCTCTATACATACTAGACTTACCGTTCGAAATTAATGCGATGTGTCGCGACACGTTTTCATTTCATTAATTATTGTCCGCGACCAAGATGCAATTTGGGAACTATCGTTTGGTTTTCTTCCTATGTTGAAATTATTTTCCTATTGATTGTATTTTCCTATTGCTACACTATTTTTTGTTGAACGTCTTGTCAATGAGACTTATTTGTTTGAGAAATCCAGCGAATACAAGTGGATGAAAAATATTTAAACAGTCACTTGGATCAAAACACCGTTCCGGATCATGTGACCGTTGCTTTGATTTCATCGGTCAACAGTGATGTCAGCTTAAATATGATTAGCTAATTATTGTGATCAACTTTCAGTTTTCCTGAGGAATATTTTGAGGAACTTATCAGGACAGTTACTGCAAGTTACGAAATGAACTGATCAACAATGTTCGGAACGCTTCTATTGGGACGTATGGTAGAATTGCAAGGTAGAATTTATTATAATATCTAAATCGCATCGACCTAAGCATGAAAGCTAGATATAAATAAGCCTTCTGCTTTCATGCAATCAAAATACAGATTATTTGCTGCTCTTGCGAACTTAACCCTCAAAGCTAAAATTAGTTTTTCAGGTTTAAACTAAACCAACTACAATAATTAACGTTTGAATGTGTTGGAAGGTTACGTGCGAACTTCAAGCATGCGAATCCGCATATAACCATCTGCCATGGCGGAAATCCAAACATCAGCACGATTTTACTGGCTCACAAACAGACGATATTCAGAGCAACAAAAGTTACCAAAATGTCGTACCTTTTCAATTATCTCGTAATAATTGACGTTTTTCGCCAAATAACGTTTAATGGGATGTGCTGACTTTGTGGCGTTATTCAGTTCACAATTCATGACAGAATCAGCTTGTTCTATTGTTATAAAATTTATCGATTTGCAAGCGGGACGCTCAGCCAAGCATTCATGAGCACAGTCTAGAGCAGTCAGTGCAAGGCATTTGCGAATGACGTGACCAGCAAGTCCAGAATCTGTTAAAAGAAGAAAGAAAATAGACATTTGTGAGAAAAGGGGAGAACTAATTCGCGTTTTTCTTATTCCAATTGAAGATAGAATTTAATGCCAATTTTTTATACGACATTTTTTTTCGTGGAAGGAATTTTTTGCGTAAAAATTAAACAGCCTGGAACTATAAAAAGGCCATGCAAGAAGAAAAACGAGAATATACACGGTTAAAAGTGCAAAGCATTACTGCCTAACAGATAAATGTCTGACACACGAGGAACTATTGGATACACGCATTTCTTTTAGCGAGGGAAGAATTTTGTTTTTACTTGACATTCCAGCACAAGCATTCCTTTTTCTCCCATATTATATATTATATATTCCTGCGATTTGACATTTTTTTCACAAACTTATATTCATGCAGAATGACATCCAATAACCTCAGTGTATTGAATGTAAATCACATTTTTATCGAATAACTGGCACACAAAGAAGATATTAAAATATAACAAGCAAGTATGCAAAAAACGTGTAAGCGTTTAGATGTATATAAGCGCTGACAGGCCCGATTCAGGATTTTCCCCAAATTTTCATTCAATATGCATGGAATACAACATGAATTATATAGCTGAAAATTCACACATTTATAACAACGTCTCTAAATTTTAATAATTAAAAACACTTTCGTCACAGATACATGCAAGTTTCAGCTATTAAAACAAATTAATTGATAGCACAAAAGGAATACTAGTACTCCAGGCTGTCGATTGTAAAACCGTGACATTTTCTTGAGAAACGTGCAATAAGAAAGGCAATCTGAATATCAAGTCGCCAGAAATTGAATTATTTCCAATCATAGTTCGTCAAAACACATAAATGCACTGCACTGAGCCAGAACTTTATAGAGGTTCGGGTCAAATTCCCCAGCAAAAAGAACTGACAGAGACAGCAATTTTTGAATATAATGATTATAAAATTTCACATTTCCGCAATTGAACGTAATATAATTACCTATCTGAATTATATAAAAATCCATAGTCTTATGTATTGGAAATAAGGACTGTAAATATTAATTCAAAAAGGATGAACAGTTACAATATCTTGCCAAAACTGTCGTTATTATCTAAACAATAACTTAAGCTGTATATTATAAGGAGAAAATTAATTGCGTATTGCCTACCTGAAGCCGTTAATTTGAATACAGCAGTAGATATCGTAGAACTGGACGTATATGTGCACAACTGTAACAAATACAATTGAAGAACTTTGTAAACATTCATGGCGAGGATCGTTGATTATCTTCAAAGTTCAAACTGGAAATCTGAAAAGAAATATGAAATAAATATAAAATATAAACATATAATCTAAAAACTTTTCGAAACTATCGTTGCATTTTAAAAGATATCATAATTTTGTAAGAAAGGCTTGGAAACGTTTTAACATCTTACTGTCTAAATTAAAAAGATATACCAAAAGAATAATAGCTACTGTTTTTATGCAGAAGAAATGAAACTATTGATTTGGCATAAATACATAGATATATTACAGCTAGATAACATTTTCCACCCTATATTCCTATATATCCTTTAGCCATGTATGTAGAATACTGTAGCGTGCATTTTGTATTATTTCAAAACGTTTGCGAACTATACCTAACTACCCTATAGATATACTATAATTATTAAGCTGTCTCTGCGTCTGAATAAATATCATGCCTTTAGCCTTGAGAATAAATAAAATTTTTAAAACCGTCTGCTGCAATTTCCAAAAAGGAAGAATTAGCAGCGGTATACTGTTAAAATAATGCAGCGGTAAACCCAGAATTTTTTAGAAATCTTATGTGGATAATACAAGGTACGAAATTTATACTCGCGCTTAGCACGGCTGTCTCATTGTAACGAGCCGTATACGAAAAACCTTTCCGAATTAGATTCAAGGAGAACAGCTAAGGTTCCTCAATTATATAGGCCAAAGATAGGTATTGTTGTTAAAAGTTGCATGTCATTAGAACGACACTTATTATTACATCGTCTATATATATATGGTGTCTTAATTAAAAGTTGCATGTCATTAGAACGACACTTATTATTACATCGTGTATATTACATATTACATCATCGTCCATCGAGTTTGATGCATGATGATAGGGAGTTATGTATAGAACAACATTCAAAATTTAACAGAAACATACACGAACGAAACATGAAAACAACGAAGAGCAAGATATACACAAGTTTGCACCTGTAACACAATTATCCCTCAGTTAACATTTACATAAGTCAAACTTTTCCGATCGCAATTTCCTCAATCGTGAATATAATGGGGTGACTTTTAATTAATTTTTTGTTCAAAATATAGTCATATAGAATGGGAGTAAACATCACTAGTTTTCTCCTGTATGCATATATAGCAACAAAGGAAATTATAGACTCTCGCAGGAATCAGTATTGTAACAAATACATTTTTTATCCCGCAGCGAGTACTTGCAAAATAACTAACTACGCGTACCTAAACTAATATCATAAATTATTAACTATAGGTCTACAATATCTTCAATACGGAACGAAAGAAGGCTTTCATCTGGACAACATTTTCTAAAGTCACAATGGATATTGGCCAACATAGCCTTGCAAAATTAAAATTTTAAGCTAGGATAGATATAATTATTTTCTTCTTTCGATGCTAAACTACTATATAATCATTAGTTTTCAACTCGCGCTAAGTGTTGAGATACTTTTGAATAGCATGTTTTGATCATGGCACGATATGAATTCAACACTGGTACTTGAGAAACAAATATTGGACTTATGTCTAGCGACACGTTGTAAATTGCGCAGGAATGTTCTGCAAACAAACAATGTTATGTAGCTAAGGACAAAATTAGCCGATCAGAGTCGTGCATTTCTGAGTTACTATAGAATAAGCTATCCCAAATGTGGTTCAATATGTTTTATACAACCCGCCCCTTATCTTTTTTTATTCCGATCTCCCTTTAGCCGAACTTGAATATTGCCATCTTCTGAATTTCCTGCTGGCTGGAGAAACATTAATACTAATAGCATCCATCTAAAGAATATAAATAAATGCTAAAGGAGCATTAAATCTACATCATATTTATATATAACTCCTATAATGTTATGTGGGAAACACTCATCGCTGTTCAAGTATTGAATTACAGTATAAATTATATCGGTGTACGTTTCTTTACTTCTACGATTTATATGAACATATATACATAATCGACATTATTATTAGTGACATTGAAACATTTCTTACCGCAATGATACTGATTTCAAAGTTAGAGTTTCACTTTTATTGAACACAGAATATAGCTACACCAGCTGTAATTCTTTAGCGTGTGGCTACGCCTAATAAACTAATGCAGACAAGTTATAGTTTCGCATTACTTAAAACATCCAATCAGCCAACAGCATTTTGAATTTATACAAATATGAAGCGTATTTGTCGGAAGCCTTGTTAACATAGGTGGTCTAATTATTCTTTTGTTATTGTCTTGAACATCACGCACGCACAGACAAAATTGAGCCTATAGTTCATATAACTAGAATTACAAATTGTAAGTGAAACTGCTGCGAGTAAATACACGTAGTACCTTTTCCTTCCCCAACCATTTCTTGGGTAGTCTTCAGGATAGTAATGGCAATATTGCGTGTCAAAAAACTTAAACTTGTTTATATTATGATGAACGTATGCAATATTTTATCGCAGTTATGCTGAAGAAGAGAATTCTCCCCGAGTTGAGATCGCACATAAGTTACGTAAGTGCGAATATGAAGTATCACGCATTTGCATAGGATGAAACCGCCGTTCTATGTGTCTATGGTACGTGTGCTCAAAAAATCATCCTGACAAACAAAAATCGCTGAAATCGAGATGCCCGTCAAGAATATAGGGCTGCTCGCTTCGCTCGCAGCAATAATGTCACCCAATTAACATATACTTTACTCGTAGCCGAGACCAAGGAAACTTATTATAAACAATTAATATAAAGTACTTCATTCTTACTGAATACTGTAGGTAACATATGAAAACTAAAATTGTGCCCATACAAATTGAATACAGAATTAAGCAACATTTACAATTACTGTTCTTAGGAGCCACATTTATCCGGATACAAATAAGGCCTAAAATTGAAAAAAAATATTTTCACCTGCTAACCAAATTTGGTTTGCAAAATGTTGGCTCCGAGCAAGAAAATTGCCAGACAAATGTATTATTTTGGTACGGCTAGTATATTATTTGTTTGCTGTTAATCAAGACGTCTTTCTATACAAAACTTCACAATGAAATAAAGTATATTTTTAAGATATTTTGCTGCTATCTTTATATAGTTATGAAGCCAATCGATTGTCAGTATCGGCTTATGAAGTAATTTTTTTTCCTGCGGACAATAAGCATGCAATATATTATTGTGTTTACATAATTATCATGCAAATGCTCATCGGGACGTTATGCGGAAAGACATCCCCATCTTACGCGTATTTGAAAAAACGCTAATCTAAAAATTACTCCATTGCGCTGTAAGATGATCCCTTAAGATGAAAATGAAGATAGCAGTTTTCCTTCGCCTCCGCCTCGTGGATTTGATACAAATGAACATAATCCCATAATTCATGCAAACCATAATTAAGTTTCCGTAGAATTAGATTTCGATTTTTTCCAGCTGTCGCCACTCATCAGTTTGACATTCGCTTCTTTGTTAAAATTCTTTACTGGCCCAGGCGTTCCTAGAAAATACAAACACTAAAAAAGTCTGTCCCAGAACATAGGGCACCTCCAAATATTTTGTACGTTTGGCAGCATTCCCTGTGGGAACGACAAATTAATGCAATATACTTTCATAATTATGTTGCAAACAAACATTGCATGCAACGCAAATTTCGGCAGACGGAAAGTCATGCTTGTCAAATTTCAACGGGCAGGACTGATATTTACGTATTTATCTATATTTCAATATGACAACCTTTTTCATAACGACTGTATATATATATATGTATATATATATAATTATATATATATATATATATATATATATATATATATATGCAAAAACGTTAGCCGCAGATAGATAGATAGATAGATACTCGAAATCTAATTAGAATTGCATATGTTGTGTAATATAATTGTAATCCCATGCAAATGTATTCATATGCAATTCTAATTACACTTCGAGTATCTATCTATCTATCTGCGGCTAACGTTTTTGCAAATGGGTGTATATATATATATATATATATATATATATATATATATATATATATATATATATATATATGTATATGTATATATATATATATATATATATGTATATGTATATATATATATATAATATATAATATATATATAATATATATATATATATATATACTGCATACGTTAATTTTATGGGATATCCGCGAAAATCTTTATCAAAAATTTCATAGATATAATAGTAAGGTTAACAATATTGGTAATAAGAAAGAAAAAAGAAAAAAATGAGCGAAATATAAACAATACTAAGTAAAACCTAGTAACCAACTACATGTAATATGACCTAATTAATTATGCATCTCTTGTATATAGTCGTTGCCTTGTTGTAATCATATATTATTTACCTGATGAGTGTGGCAAGCTAAACGCTTGTCATACGAAACAGTTCTGTAGTAAATAAAATTCGATGAAGTAATCTAAACTTCAACGGACAGGTCGATTTCAGTTGCGGTTGTATAAAAGGGATGACGAAATTATTCATTGGCTTTGTCAGAAATTTGAATTTGTATTTCATTAATAACGTCAGCAATTTAACTATGAATTCGCAAATTTTTCCTCAGGCCCTGTTTATATCAACCAGGCTAGCCCGCTCGCTTTGGCCACATTTTGCGCGCTGGCCCGGTAGCGTTACATATATTTCGCTGATGCGCAATTTAGCGAGAAATACAATAATTTGCTGTCTACACAATTGGAAAAATGTTCTTGCATTGATTACAGTAGTTTTTGTTGGATTTTTTTTCGCTAATTTTTCAAATGCATGATATTCTTTTGCTTTGCAAAATACATATATATAATGGAGAAATGATGCTATGATGGCATATTTGTAGAGAATACGATCAACGATTTTCAACCGCTTAGTGCCTTCATATGAGCCGGTTACTGCCGAGATCTCCTGCTCAACTCGTGTTAGGGCAATCTACGCACTCGCATAACTTGGAAGAGCACAGAATGGCTCCTTGTGCATTTGTAGAACCCTGCATTAAAAAATCACGATTTCTGGTTTCGGCAAGGAGATGCATGGGGGTTCTTGAAAATGTTTGCCAAAAAAATCCCTGTTTCAGAGCAAAATTCATTGTTTCGAAGAAACAATTAAATAAATAGTTACTAGGTTACCTGCAAGGTAGGGATTGCTGCGGGCATTAAAAACAAATTGAACCAAATATCATATAAGAACAGGATTGGCAAAACTGTACAATTGTTAAAAAAATATTACAAAAGCGTTGAAATTTGTGAAATATGTGTCACACGATCACGTCGCAATTACTTTAACAAAGGGCGTGTTAAGGTGAAATTTTTCTTGCAACTTGGAATTCTGCTTGTAATCAGTAAAGTCAATGAAGATATGCCATATGGATTGGAAAAATATCAACGCAAAACACGTACTTTGGCATTTTACATTTCTCAAGAGTAGAGTTGTATTGCAAGTTGCAAAAAAATTGCATCGTGTAACTGGGCCTGAACTAAACTCTAAAGTTAACAAAATAAGAATGTAAGTGACTCCTTCTGCAGGGCAATCCACCTTTGATGTATTGGACGACCCTTCGGCATCGTCGTCTTGCCTTAAACAGTTCAAAGAATTGCTATACTCGTTTGCTGTATTTTCGTATATGGCAGATTGCCCAGACCCACTATGACGATGAAACACGACGCTCAATGACAAAGATGTAAAAATAAACTTGGATTATCAAACTAAACTGTGGTCTAACAATAAGATAAAATAGGAAATACTATCAAGCGCAAAGGTGCAAATGAAATCGAAGATATAATCAGTTCTTTCAAAGAATTGCTACTCATTTACTGTATTTACATGCGGCAAGCGACAACGAAACACGAGCCGCAATGACAAATATGTAAAATATAACACTTGGATTTTTAATTTTAAACACTAAATTGCCGCTTTTACTGAGCTTTTTACCCCTAGTAAACGTCACACTGAATTAAGCGCAGTACCGTAGTGCAAATGAAACCGAGAATAGCTACAAACAGTTTATAATCAGTTCGAATAAATGAAATTCGAAAACGGCAGACTGCCCAGGCACACTATGACAATGAAACACGAGGCGCAATGACAAAGATGAGGAAATAAACTTGGATTATCAACACTGAGTTAAAATAAGTCCAAACAGGCAAAACAATCAACAATATACTTAAAATACGATTTGATAGTCAATGCTGTATATCGCGCGTCGTACGATATGCTAAACGAAAAATCTAGACATCAATGCGCGAATATTTATATTGTGAATCAAAACAAATTACAGTAGAAATCAGGCAAAACGACAAGCAACTGTCAACCTTATATAAATGAAAACAAAGGCGAATGAAGAACAGAATGTATGTTAAATCTGGACTGGTACCTCTTCCACTTGGACGTTTTACATTTAAGTTTTAATCCATATTGGTATTTAATCCATATCACTGAAACGTGAGATTAATTTGTGCACAACTGCGCATACAAACAGGCCTGATACAACTGCGTCAGTGCGCACAACCACAATGCAACGCAACCCTAAAAATTTGCTTTTCACTGCCTACTACGCCAATTAGACTGCTGCTACGCTCGCTCGCTTCAAGCTCGCTCACTCCGCAGCAATTAATTATTAAAAATCGATCCACGGTCCCTGTGAATTACGGATGTTTGTATGGTCATGAAAATATATTAAAACTATTAAAAATATACAACTACAATTCCTACGATATATATACCAAACCTTCATTATAAGTTTGCATGGTGACGTCAATAAGTAAATTAGCTTGTATAGGTACACCATGTGCACGTAAATATTTAATACTGCAAAGTTTTTGGTCCGTTAACCGGGCCTTCATCAGTTGGAAGATTAGGCTACTATTATTATCACAATATCACTCATTCCTATTTGCTTGTTTTATTTTTTTTAATCATTAAAGGATTGCCCACCTGATTCCATCGTGTACATTTGGCATATACTTAACTAGGAATTGAGTCTGAACTGAATCTGCTTTGTAAAGAACTTCTATATATAAGCTACATATTGCTATGGGTTTTAACCTTTTGATTCATCACGCCGAATGTCTTTGGTCAAAATACTGTTCCAGTATGCAAGGTAGCCGGCAGCGTGTCACTGGCTTTTTGCTTTTTCTGAGAGGGCTGTTATTTACTTCTCGTCTCTCTGAAATACTGCTTATTAACCACGCACGAGATTTTTGCCCAGAAATATTGGACCGACGTCTTTCTCAACAGACCGAGCTCAAAGAGCGAGGTTTGTACAAAGAAATCGAGGTCCGATATTTCTCAGTATAAAGACC